GGGGGGGGGGGGGGTGTACATTAAGTTTAAAGTGCGGTACAGTTTGTATGTAAACAAAGGCTTTGTTTACATGCCGGTATCCAAAACATTGAATTTCATTCGACAACTATTTATATTTTCATGATTTTAGAGTATAATAAATTATCAGGACACAACAATTACGCTTTTACTGTTTGTATAATAAAAAGAGGGCTCTTTTGTTCACATGCGCAGATCAACCTGTACTGCATCTTTAATGTCCAGACACCCTCCCCCCGTCCTCTTTGGATGAATTTTTCTGAAGGGTGACCCCAAAGTCGTTTCTGTGCGGTTAAGCCTGTCGGCATACTTTGATGTATTTTATTGTTCTGAGGGGTAAGGGAAAATTTACAAATGTCTGAGGGGGGTTTGTGTCAGGCTGTCAGCACTTTGATCTATTTTTTGGGGGGAATTAAAATTTTAATGACCTTATTGATAGGAGGGGGATGTGGATATTAAATAGATAGCCCAATGTAGAAAGGCATTTTTCACGCTCTAACTGCTGTGGGGAACTCGAAGGGTGTTTGGGTGCCCAGAAGCGGCAGCTACCATGACTCCCCCCCCCCCCAGACAAAAAATGACCATAAACATTTTGCTAGTACATTGGGAAAATTGGCCTGAGCCTCAGTTGTATAGGGTTAGAAAATTTGCAACAGGTGGCCCCCAAAAGCAGGAATTGATGAAATTGTGAAATTTGGACCCCCTTTATAGTAGACATAGACAGGGAAAAATTTGTTATTTTTAAGGAATATGGTTTGAAAATTTTTTTTCTTTCCCACCCCCAACTTAATTTTGAAAAAATAAGGCCCCACGTAAAAAATTAAATAGGGGGCCTCAGGAGGCACCGGGAACTCGACTGGCACTACCATGAGAACTGCTATAAAAGACTTTGTGATTAGAACAAGTTAGAAAAAGTGGAGGAAAAGAGAACATGAGGCAGTGAAATCTTAATTGGCTGTAAAGTTGCAGACTGTTCCACCAAAGAAGCTTTTACACTCATCACTTGACAATGATGGTCACCAAAATAGTGACATGAAGGCTAGATCACCAAATGTTTTGCCTCCAGTATGCATAATATGCGAGAAACTATCCGATTTGTTTGTCATATGGTATGTCTTACATTGTAATTATATTGGTATATTTATTATTAAATGAAATCATTATACAGTTGCTAGTAAATGGTACAACGATCACGTAGCAAAATAATCGCCTGAATAATATTTATTCCAAAATTATTACCCGTGAAGAATAACCCTTGTTGCGTGTGAGACTTCAGATGCAGGTCTATCGCGCGAAGCTGGCACAAACAAAAAGGACAACTACAGGTCTGGATCTTATTAAAAATTGCGGAAACTGAGATTGTGTTGCCATTGAGGTTAATTACCATAATAAGTGATACAAGAATTATACTAAATATTTGTATGGACAGGATAAGACATCATGTGAAACAACTTCAATGGTTTTGTACAAAATGGGATATGATGATAATCACAGCGCTACACAGTCGATCCATATTGAATGAGCTACAAATTCTGTATCATGCTTCTATATATATTGCTTAAGAAAAAACTAGCCACTGTGAAGTGGCTTATGGACCCTTGGCTGTCTGTAGCTGAATGACTAACTTTACTAAATGAATTTCTTGTAAAGAAATTATTCTACAGAGTGGAATTAATAGCAGATTTTCAATGTTCAGTGATATTGCCTGTTGAGTAATGTGCCTGTTGAGTAATAATAAGTCACGGCTTGCTTGTGTGCAGCGTGCATTGGTAAAATTTGGCTATGTAATATCAGAACTACTCCAAAAGAACTGTCTGATCATGGTGAAATTAGTTAGTCCGGCGCCATGTGGAACAGATTTCATCTTAATATTTTTCTGTGCTGGTGTTGTGTACTCAGGTGAATAATATGTTTGCGATGTTACTCTGAGTGCATATCCACACCGGGCGAGCTTGAAAAATATGCCCGGCCACGGTGGGATTCGAACCTACGACCTTTGGAATACTAGCCCAATGCTCTTCCAACTGAGCTACGCGGTCAGGACGGTTCGATTTCATCTTCTAGGTTTCTTTCAAAGGCTTTAGATGACGGGTCAACAATTTGAATTTTTTAATCGCATTTTAGTTTTCTGACTTGCATAGCCACTTTAATTCACACACTGTGGTGTACAATTTAAGGTACTAGTGCAAAATAAGCCCTTTCCCTGCATACAGTCTGTCAATATAAGCTTTACTGGAGAAACAAAAATGCTGACTCAGCATTTTTAAAAACTTTGGAACGTGATATCTCGGTAACGAACGACTGAAAGTTTTCAGTGTAATATAGTTTTTTTGTCCTATTATGCACCTCAATCTGATGGCATTAAACATTTTTCGAATTTCGAACATTTTTACCTTTCGAAACTATAGATGACGTCATCACCAGAATATAGTCGATTTCTCGTTGTTGTGCACACTTATGACCGGGGGCTTTTTTATTATTTCATTTGGCATGCTCCTCTACTACTTTATGAAAGAAATCATTAGCCTCCAGATGTGTGCAACGAAAGTCACTTTCTAGGCATATTTTTAGCCTTATGTGACGGCCTATAGGCACTTTTAGTGGTTTTAAACGTGAATAATTTCTCTCAAACGAAGGTGATGGAGTCTCTTCCGTATTCTCTGCTGTATTATTATTTACTTGGTTGTTTTCGATATTATAGCTTGAAGTATTAACTTCCGGTGAAATATTAACTTGGGGCGGCATGTTATTATCAGGCGAATTGTTTACATTCGGCAAAGACGACTCATAATTCGTGTTAGACTGTGAACTTTTCGCTTTATATTTAGCTTTAAGAAAAACTTTGTGCGTTTTCTATTGCCTTAGAAATTTCTGCTTCGATATCGTCCGATTCTTTACTCGATTCTAACTGTTCTTCAAACTGAACGGCAGTTACATAATACCGAGTTATTTCGTCTATAACTTCGTGCGTTTCTTCTAAATTTTGTCATAGTTGCTCTACTTTCGATTCAACCTCAGTTACTTCGACCGAATCAGTAATACATAGCTTTTCGATCTGATGTTTAAGCCTTGTAAGCTTGGCTTTAAAGGCACGTTTTTGCCTTTTTAAAAGAACGATTTCCTCACCTTGCACAGAACTTTCAATCTGTAGCGTTGTCGGTGGCTGTATATTTTCTAGCGACGCTTCGCTGTTTTGTTCGTTTACGATTTCGCTATTTTCTCCGGTTATTCCGGTTGCCATATCATATCGATCACGTTCGAATAACGGTACGCTATACAAGTCCTGGCAGGATCGCCAAATGTTCACGAGACTATAAAACTTTCAATTAAAAAACGACGAAAAAAAACTATAAAAAACTCAACTCTTTATTTTACAAATCCAAGCTCGAATCATTCGAAAACACTGTCTTGGCTACGTCCCTAATTAATGCTAAAATGTCTGTTCGCCTAATTTATGCAAATTGTCTGTTCGTTTCCCTAAAAATTAATAACAAATTAAATGTCAATATATACATATACAGTCACTTCTCCACAATACTTATTTGAACAAAATACAAAAAATGTATTCATTGTTTTAACAGATTAGTTACTAGTATTTTAAAAGATGGACTGTCCTTTTAATAGTACTAAATATACCGAATGGAGAATGGTCATCTCCTGGTGGCGATGCGAAATTGTTTGAAAGCGAAGGCGTCTCCATCAGTTGGTATGCTAAAGCTAAAACAATCACATTGAATGGAAGGTGTCAAAGCGAGACCGAAGAAAAACTGTACTCGATAGCCTCAATTTCTAAGGAATTACCTGAAGTAAACAAGCAGAATAGTGACGCAGACTGTGCTATGGGGGACTCTTTTATATCTCTGGCCGAAGCAACCAGTAAACCCGATCGTAACGAAAAGTCTCTGGAAGAACATATGCAATTTTTTGAAAATCGGCTGCAGGTTTTATCTAAAGAATTTGCTGCGAGTATGTCAACTGTAAAGAACATATTGTGGGAACATTCAAACGAGCTAAAGCAAATTAATAATCCACATCCAGATAGTGAACTAACAGCTTTAAAACGAGAAAGTCTTGAACTCAAAAACCAAAATAAAGACTTAACCGATCGAAAAAGTAATATGAACTATATCCTTGCTGATTTGCAAGGGAAAGCTAAAGTAGCTGAAGACGAAAAAGCCAGCCTAATTACATCTGTTCGGCTATTGTGTAATGATTTGGGAATCAATCAACCATCAAACGGCAATTACCCTTTACAAGATAATCGACCGCCTGAGAATAATACCAAAGCGGAGCGTTATCAATTTCGCAATAACATTTTAACCCAAAATAGCCTCAGTGCACAAAACACGGAAGAAATAAATTGTTCAAAGGAAAAATCTTTCGATCATGATCGAGTTGCAGGAACGGCTGTCCCAACCAATAACCGTTTCTCCCATCTGAAGGTAGAGGAAGCCAATAATATTCCTGCTGAAATAAATGAAATAAATCAAAAT